TTCTGGAGGCTGCCTGCTTTCCTTGGCTCATGGCCCCATTCCATCTTCAAAGCCAGCAGTGGCGGAGTCTTTCTCACATTGTGTCACTCTGACTCTCATTCCGCTGCCTGTCTCTTTCTCTTATAAGGACCCTTGTGATTACACTAGGACCATCCAGATAATCAAGGACAGCCTCCCCACCTCAGAGTCCTTAACTTACTTACATCTACAAAGTCCTTATGCCATGTAGGGCAACATATTCACAGGTTCCAGGGATTAGGACATGGACATCTTTGGGGAGCCACTATTGTGCCTACCATAAGCTGTAATATGAAAGAGTCATTAACAATATGAAAATATTTTGTATATTTTTTAGATGCTTGTATATGCTTCCTCACCAAGACACAATAAAAAATAAAAAGAAAATGTCAGTTTCCAAGTTGGAATTTACCAGTTACAGTCTTTTCTTCTATATACTTTGGAGCAAGTTGTTCCACAAAGGAGATAAATACCCAAAACCCACTGCCACTGAGTCAGTTCGACTCATAGCGACCCCATAGGGTTTCCAAGGCTGTAAATCTCTATGGAAGCAGACTGCCACATCTTTCACCCGCGGAGCCACTGGTGGTTTCGAACTACCAACCTTTCGTTTAGCAGGGAATAATTTTTACCACTTTGCCACCAGGGCTCCTTAAGGAGATTAATGTGTATATAATATTAGAAGTAAAAATTAACTGTTAAGTAATAGGATAATGAATTAGGAATATGCGTTTCTAGTCCCACTAATAATTTATTGGGTAACATTTGAGAATCTTTCAGCTGGCACACATTATAATTTTTCCACTGATAGAAAAAATATCAAGAGCAGTTCTGTCCAGTATGGTAGCCAATAGCCTATATTGTGGCTATATTTTATTTAAGTTAATAAAATTAAAGTAAAATGTAAACATTCAGTCCCTCAGTCACTCTAGCCGTATTTCAAGTGTTCAGTAGCTGTATGTGGCTAGCTACTGTATTGGACAGTACAAGATACAGAACTTTCCGTCACTGTAGAAAGTTCTACTGGACAGTGCTGATCTAAGGATACAAATGTTAACATTAAGAGGAGTATGTAGTGGAAATGTTTGTATTTATCTGCATTGGAATACCTTTTAGGTATCTCAAAGCAAGCATTATCTGAAGGTGAACTTATTCTAGTTTCCCTAAGTTACCTCTCTTGCTCATCCCTCCATTCCTCCTCTTCCCTCCACCCCCACCCAAAAACAAACAAACAAACAAACAAACCAAAACTTACTCCCACTTTTGTGTTCATTCTCTGGGTAAATGGCTCCACCAAGCAGTGTGCCCAGGACAGAAACTTGCAAGTCATGGATTATCTTCATCACCACCATATCCAATCTCCT